ATCAGGTTACCCTTAATGGGCTAGGTTAGAATGCAAACTATTTGCATGTGTTTGAAGTTTATAGATATGGTACCCACTTAATACTACCATTTTCTTTCTTTCTTTTTTTATAACATTACTATTTATTGTTTTATATGAATATTATATTGAAAGCCCAAGCATTCAGTTTACACATAGAAATTATACAATTATATACCACTTCACAAAGGGAGTAAACACAATACATTCTACAAAATCTACTTTACAGAAATTTAAAAATTCTAAATATCAAAGGGCACAGTTGAAGAAACAGGTATAAATTTGGCAGCCAGTAATTTTAACAGGGAAGTTGCAGCTTGCGTGACTTTAAATAAGTGAATTTGAAAATATTGAGTTTAGAGTAATTGTGCTTTGCGTTGATCTGAAAAATATAACACTGGCTGTCAAACAGCATGTTCAAAAATATTTCATTCACTTCAAAATGTCCTACAAACTATAGTGGTTTCAATGTACCTCTAACACCTCAGTCATTGTAGCTCAGGTACATTACTAAAGTAATACATTAATTCTCCCAGAACAGTGGTGTTTCATACCATGACATTTGCATTCTCTAGAATAATTTAGAAAGAAATGTGTGATATTTACAATGTTCAGAAAAGCAAGCCAAAGGCTAAAGAACCTGCTGGGTTCTTCCGAGATGGTATCAGATCAGCTTCACAAGCATTCATTCTACAAAACAGTCAGTTAAGGTTTGAACACAATTTCCAAGGTAAAGTACATTTTCTCATAAATAATGAAGTCTTTTTTCTCAGGCACCTCAGAAGTATACAAAAGAATTTTAGTTTGAAGAGATCTCTTGGAATGTGTTTAACCTGGTATTTCAATAGACTTAAGATTTCCAGGGTTTCACAAGGGCCAGATTTTATTTGAATTACTCAGAAGAGAAAGAAAATGTCTTCTGAAAGAAGTAAATTCAATCATTACCAATAGAAAAAGTATCCCCTGTATTTGTCTCTTATAAAAACAGAAAAATATAACATTCTCCTCCCTTAGAATAATATATATATGTATATATGACTTAAAGTTCCATTGTACATAGTCAAACAATAAAATCTGGAAACCAGCATGAAACCCCGTAATTCACATGTTAAAATGTGAAAACTACGACCAAAATATGAAAACTGCTACAGCTGTCAGACAAGACAAAAGCCATTCTTGCATATGTATAAACAAAATGTGATAATCTTGAAAAGATTTTCAAAATTATAATTACTTTCCAGTTTAAAAACTTTAATTCTAAATTTAAAAAAGTCTATACACAAAGCACTGATTTGACCATACCACTCTCCCCAACAACAACAACGACAACAACAACAATAAAAAAGTCGGCGGTAAGCAGGACCCAGAGGAGCTGATATTCACAGTTCTTACATATACAACTCTTTCAGGATTTATCATTAAAGTACTTTATTTTACAACCTGCTTCTCTTGTAAAACTAAATGTCCACTTTATTACATAAAAGATTTATTTATACAGTGTAAAACCAGAACTGTATGTAAAATACTGTATCTAAATGTTTCTAAGTAGTTAGTCTTGTTCCACTGGTTCATCTGTGACTTCTGAGGCTTCATCATTTTCCATGGATGATTCTGAGACTATCTCCAGTTTTACTGGAATTGTAGCCTGTTAACTCTTCTGCTTCATGGCAGTCTGAACCACTATTACAGGATCTGTATTTTCACTACCTTCAGAATGTAAATCATTCTCAGCTTGAGACAGATCAGATTCCTCCATCTGATTATTTTCCTCAGAAGTCTCTTCATTCACAGTTAAGGCATCATCAGATTCTTTTTTTTAATTTTTTCTTTCTGGAATCATGTCTTTTGATGTCATATAAGACTCTTCTTCTTCATCCTCTTCTTCATCCTCTTCTGTACAGTGCTGCCTGGTACAACTATTTTCTTTGTCTTTATCCTGAGATAAAGATGATGCTTCTGTTTCTTCTACCATAACTGAAGAAATCTCACTGGAGGTTGTCTGACTGGCTGTCTCTCTGACTTCACCTTCTGTGTCAAACCTGAGTCTTTTCACCTCATGACCCTCAGATTCCACAGCATCTTCATCTGGATGTTTATTTTTTAGAGGGCTCATGGAGGAAACTTGCGATTCAGATGTTGGAGGATCACTGTGATTTTTCTCTTCATTTTGCTGTAAGTTTGACTCTTTGCTCTCTGTGCTCTCAGGCAAACCATTTGTTGTCAAGCGGGCTGACAAAGAAACCTTTGGTCCATTAAGTGGCCTGGGTGTTCCAGGCCCATTTATATTAGACCTCTCAGTATAGCTTGGTGAATTTCCAGGAAACATAACACCATTCATTCGATTTAAACTATTGGAATTATTTTTCTCTGAAGAAGGATAAACACAGCTAACAACCATCACATTCTTTTCTCCTCCTCTGAGAAACTTATCTGTTCCTGTATAGTTTCTCCTCGGATCTGTTAGCAATTCACACAGTCGCTGAATAGTAAAAGGGATACCATTAAATCCATTGACAATTTTCAGTATTCTTTCCTTCATTTCATCAAAAGGAATATATTCGACATTAGGATTTGGAGGACCTCTTGGTTCAGGAGCTGAAGTTCTGAAATTATCCATCACTTTTTCCAGTTTGAATATAAAATAGCCTTTAAATTGGGACCACTGAATCATTGTTTCTCCAGTCTTGGCTACAGGACAAAGAAACTGATCCTGGACAGGACAAACTTCCTTTTTGCCCCTTTTCTCAAAATCTTTGAGCGCCTCCTGCAGCCTCTTGACCTCCATGGCTTCCCGGAGTCACTCGCAGCCTCCTCTTCCCTCCGTGGGTCTCCCGGGACCGGAGCCGCCCCCCCCCCCCCCCCCCCCCCGCAGACGCTCCGGCGGCACGCAGGCGACCGGGGGAGGCTCCGAAGGGAGCCGGGGGTGTATCTCAAAATCTTTGAGCGCCTCCTGCAGCCTCTTGACCTCCATGGCTTCCCGGAGTCACTCGCAGCCTCCTCTTCCCTCCGTGGGTCTCCCGGGACCGGAGCCGCCCCCCCCCCTCCCCCTCACTTGCAGACGCTCCGGCGGCACGCAGGCGACCGGGGGAGGCACCGAAGGGAGCCGGGGGAAGCGAGCGACAGAGGGAGACCGAGAGAGCAAGCACCTCCCCGAGCCGCTACCACCAGTCCCCTTTTTTATACTGGGGATTGAACTCGGGACCTTGTGCTTGCAAGGCAGGTGGCGGAACCACTGAGCTGAATCCCCAGCCCAATATTACTATTTTCTTCAAGGTAAAAGTCCGTGGGATTTATCAACCTATAAACAGTATCAGAGGAAAAGTGCAGGCTCAATTTACAGGTGAAAAACATGCCCCTTATGTACAAGGGAATAAAGGAGGGCGAGAATTTACATGTTTATTATATTTTTAAGCTCTTAGAAATTTTTGGAGTTTCTTGGAAGGGAAAAAAGGCATTGTAACCCTAGGTAATTTTGAAGCTGCAGTTTTTCTTAACAGCACAATTTTACCAGTACTGAGGGAGCCTAAGGCAGGAGGATCACAAGTTGAAGTCCCACCTGGGCAATTTAGCAACCAAACAAGATCTTATCTTAAAACCAAAATAAAAAGGCCTGGGGATATAGCTCAGAGGCACAACATCTCTGGGTTTGATCCCAGTACCACAAAAAAGGGGAGAAGGGGTACATTTTTTAAATTGTGATTTTCCTTGTCTCCTTTCTACATGTCTTACTTCTTTTATCCAATCTTCTGCTCAGCTCATGTGAATACATGTTGTATTTTATAGAATTAGACATGGTCCAACTCTATAAATGCTAATAAAAGCCAATGAGGTCTTAAAATTTGTGTTAATTTTGTCTTTTGACAATGAACAGGCCAGATTTTAGAAATATATATAGAAGCAATATTGACAGGGCTTGGTGATAAATTGAGGAGGCTTAGAAGCATTCTAGCTGGATCTCAGATGCTTCACAGGTAGGTAGAAGCATGAAATACCACAGAAGTGGGAACTGTTTTATTGAAGATATAATGAGTTCAGTTTTATGTGATAAAGATGAGCTATAATAAATCTTAATATTTCTAAAGACCATTTTTGTTTGTATTAAATCTCAGTATGCTAATAGAAGTGAGTTAAGCCCAAACTCATTCAAAGCTCTTTACAATGTGGACCAACCTAACCTACCTTTCATACATCACCTTCTATTCTCTTTTATCTACCTTTTATTTCAACCACACAAAACATTTCTCAAAAATACCTTCCCAAACACCCAAAACTAAGACAGGTTCTTATAAATGCCAGACTATTTTCTTTCATTGTACTTAGCACATTTATTAAACTCTGTACCTTTTCTGTGATCATATGTTTAACATCAGTCTCCTCTACTATATACTCTATATAGGGCCACTGATTCCCTGACTGCTCTTGGGCAGATATTCCTTATTTTCTACATCTTAATTTTCCTGTTTGGAAATGAGGTTAAAATAGAGTTCTGACTATAGTTGTGAGCATTGAGATGTTAAACATGAAAGCTTACCCATGAGGTTCAAAAATATTTGTGAAGTGAAAGAGTTCACGACACACCAAGAAACCTCAGACGTGGAAGAGTGAGGGCAGGGAGTTGGGGAAGTTTCTAAGGATAATAACACCTTCTGGCTCCCTGGGCTGCCCAGGGTGCGAGGTTCCACCCTACAGATCTTGGCCCGCATTCAATCCTAACAGTCTGGAGGCCTCTTATCCTTCAATTCGTTTCCTCCGAGTATGCAGCTCCAGCTTTGTTCAGCCACTGAACGCGGCTCCAGGGACCTTTAGTGATGTAGTGTCCAAGACCTTTCTAGTATCCTAGGTAACGACGTTAACTTCCAGGTTAAGGGCAGGCGAAGCTCTGTTTCTATCATGTGACCTATACAGACCTTTCCCTGGATGGAGCTGACCCGTCTCCTCTCAGCAACTCAAGTGCGGTCCAAAGTCCGCCTTCCCGAGGCCTGGATGCCGGACAGTCTCTGGGGGAGGCAGCACTGGGAGGGACCTGCGGACCTGGAGGGACCAGGGCTCAGAGCTCCGCAGGGTCCAACGAAGAAAAGCTAGGCGGCTGCGAGACCACCTTCCCGTCGTCGCCAAGCTGGAGCTCGAAACGGAGTTCAGTGGGGCCAGGGCCCCGGCTGCTGCTCAGCGGCTCCACGAAGCAGCGGCCCCTGAGCCTGAACCGAAGGCGGTGGCGGTGCCCCGGACAGGGAGCGCACTGCGCTGGCTCACCACCGTGGTCCTGTATGCCGCCTTCCTGGGGCTGGTGAGAGCTGGGGCTGCAACTCTCCAGGGCCCGAGAGGTTTGCTGCAGAGAACGTGGCCTTTGCAGTTGGAGCCGAGTCTTGGCCCCCTGCATACTGTGTCACCTTAGGTCATTAGCTAATCTGCCTAGGAATCATTTTCCTTATCTAACACGTGAAGGAGTGTAATCATGTGATCATGGAGAACTACTGTAAAGTGGGGAATCGGCTTTCCTAGTACAATATGTTTTCTAACTGCAGCAAAATTTCCTGTCTCCTTGGTGCTTTGGGGAGACACAAGAAGGGTTGCCCAGGTCTTTGGCCACTGCTCTACCACTTGCCAAATTATTACACAGAGGAGTGATTTTCTGGGATTTCCTGTTTCTAGTGGCCTGACGAAATTCAGCCAGCCACTTAATTTTGCAGCTAGAAAATTGGTCGAGAGAGGAAAATGACTTTTCCAAATCAAACTACTGATTAAGTGGTACAGCCAGGAACATCTGTTACTCTGCTCACAATTATAATTAAGTGAGCCTTCAGATCCTTAAATGTTTGTGGCTAGAAATGACATTGCTCAAGCCACTGGAAATCTCTCCCACAAATAACAGTGTTTGGCAATTGAGGCCTGGGGAGTTGGGAGTGTGAATAAATCTCAGAGAATTACTTTTAGTCACTTAGCATCTCAGTCAGAGCCTCCTTGTTTCAGTGGTGCTACTGAGCTAAATCCCCGGCCCAGAGTCTCCTTGTTTCTTAGAATGGTTTGGTGGCTAGAGGCAGCATGAGATGGGGTTGCGGGCGCTTGGTGGTCTTGGTGGTCTTGCTCTGCCTGGTCTTATAAATCCTTTGAAAGTGAAGTAATAAACTAGTCATTGCTCACCCTTCCTTCCTTCTACAAGATGCTTGCTGAGGGCTGGTACACACCCTGATCCTGGGTCCTGAACTGCTCTTGCTTGTGCAAAGGCAACTCTGCTGCTTGAAGCAGAGCATTGCAAAGTTAGCAGACTGTTGCTGTGCCTCTGCTAACCCAGGTGTTTATTCTTAGACTGCTCCTGCTTGAGCTAGAGGCGCACAGTAGAGCAGAGCAATTATGAATTAGGAACATCTTTTTCTCAAAGGGTCCAAGGAACTTCTGGAAGCCAACTGTAATGCTTAGTTCTTGCTGACACCTATTGAAAAGAAAAGTTAATTTTAATAATTTCTTCTAGCAAAGAAGTGACTCAGAATCTGGACAACACCTGAAGGAATTAAGGGTTCAGAAAACTCCACACAGGAACGTGGCAGGCAGTATCTGTAGACAGAATAAGAAAGTGACACACAGAAATAGCTTGACTGGTTGAAGCTTATTTGTCTTCTTTGCACGTTTCTGAGCAGTTTGCAGCCTGTGATGGGCTAAACCTTTGGCTGCTCAGTTACTTGCTCCACAAACAGGCAGGTTGAATGCTGACATATTAAGGTAGGTTACAGTACCCACATACACAGCCAGATTTAGGCCAGATTTAATGTAACAATCCCTCACTTTTGGTCAGCCTCTCCATTTTGAGAGGTTCACTGAAATCTTGTCACTGACCCTTTCTGTCACCATCATAATTACATTTGATTTTAGCCAAAAGGCCGAGAAGCGATTGTCACTATCATAATTAACTGAGATTTGGATGATTCTTGGTGCTTCGAGTTTCTGTTGTTTTTGGTGTACAAAGGATGGCTGCATAGAAATGCTAGGACTCTGAGTGCATACAACACACTGGGGAGACCTGAGGATGGCTACTGAGAGATACTGCATTATTGGTATCTTTGTATATCAGTAATATCCAGAAGGTAAAGAACACTCCTTAACTGGTGTCTCCATGAACCAAACTGCTCAAAATCAAGCCATTTAAAGTTCACACAATAGGGCTGGAGATTTAGCTCAGTGGTTCCACCACCTGCCTTGCAAGCACAAGGTCCTGAGTTTGATGCCCAGTACCCCCCCGCCAAAAAAGTTCACACAATGAAGAGAGCTCAACAGTATTTGAACCCAATTGGCTGTGAAATGGCTTGAACCAAACAAGTATCCAGGTGTGTAGTTAGATTTGAGACCCACTAAACATGAAGATTAGAAAATCTTGGAATAGCCTGGCCTGCCACCCACCACTCAGGATGCTTGTAAACCAAATGTTAACTGTTTCTGTAACCACATCATGTGTTTCTTCCCCCTGAAAACTTTTCTTAATGTGTCAGTGCAGGTATCTAGAGAAACCCTCAGCCATTTCTTGTGCATTGCTTTGTCTTTTCAGGTTGGGGTTTGAACCTATGGCCTAGTGCATGCTAGCACATGTTCTACCAACTGAGCGACACCCCCAGCTGCTTGGCCACTCTTTCTGTAGCAGTGAGATGAAGGGAAATTTAAGCACAGAAATTGGTTTCATCCAGTACTGCACACAGGCCCCTAGCATGGGCAAGGAAGACATCTAAAGCTAAATTTTGTTCCTCTAAGGGTTTTTTGAACATGAATGTTTTCACTCATCTGTTATAGTGTGGCTTCTACCCTTTTGAATTCCTAAGAAGTTTGATTGATTACAAGATCCAAATTTGCTAGCTAATGTGTTAGCTTCAAATTCCATACAACTGGCACCTACTGCTGCCAAGAGTGAACACCCAGAATCCTATTAGGAACTTTCCTTGGTGGAGCCTAATTCATCTTTATCTACTTCCAAGGTAGATATAATCGTGGATATTGAGTGCTTTGGCCTTTGATTATGGGAGGGATGGGAACTTTCAGAGAAAGCTGTTCAGAAGGCAGGGTGAGCCAATCCAAGTAGCAAGATCTGAACCAGTGAGGTATCAGAGCAGTGTAAACAAATTCTCCAGACTCAATATAGTCTGGAGCCACTTGGGCGCTGGAAAAGAGGGCCCCCAGAAGCAGCTAAGTAGAACTCAGTTACATTTGTTTACTTATAAGAGTTCACAGATCTGAGCTAGGCCCATTGGGAGTCTTTCTTTGTGATCCCACCCATTCCAGCACGAAGGAAGGATGCATAGTCGCATTTAGTAGAAAAGGCTCTTACTGGTTTTAAAGCGGTGACATCATACAAGTAATTTCTTGTGACCAAGTCTTGTCTAGGCACAATACACTTTTTGTAGACTGCTTTTCTCAGATAGCTTTTCTCTATTTGGCAGTAGTCAGGTTATTAATTGGAAAGTTCCGGGTACTATTTCCAGAGAATTTGAAAGCAGAGAGCAGTGATGTTAATATCAAGGAAAGCTTTCCACTCGTCCTTTAGGGGTTCAAGGGGACTTAGTAGGAACATGGAGCTGCACTGGCAGTAGTGGAATTGTTTCCTGATTTGAGGATGTTGGACTTCATACCTCACAAGAGCTCTGGTTTCTTGCTGCAGCATAAGCCTTTGCTAAAGTCACCCACAAATCATGACCCTATATATTTTACTTAAATGATAGAAAAGAGATTAGGAGGAAATGGGCAGGAAAGTAGCAGGAAATGGGGAGAGGAGATAAGGCTTTTGAGATGGGAGAGAAGTATTAATCCTTGGTCTTGGGAAAGATCTCCATATTGAGGATGACATCTGCTTCTGGTGAGAAACATCCTCAGTCAGCTTAACCTTAAGGGTATAGTTTCAGGAGTCTGGCGGGGTCCCCTTCAAGTTTTTTTGTCTTACCAATATTGAGTTTGGCAATCCAAAAATTGGTTATGAGATGTTTTTCAATTCCAAAATATTTACTGTCTCAATATTTTATCTTAATTGGAATCATTTTATTTATTGCATGGTAAGTCTTGGAGTGCAGAGCTCTGTGTGTGTGTGTGTGTGTGTGTGTGTGTGTGTGTGTGTGTTGCACTTGCAATTGAACCTAGGCAGCACTGAGCTACATCTCTAGCCCCTTTTTATTTTTATTTTTATTTTGAGATAGGCTTATGAAATTGTCCAAGCTAGCCTCAAAGAGACAGTCCTCTTCCCTTAGTCTCCCAAAGTAGCTGGGATTGCAGGTGTGTACCACTAAGCCTGGTTGGGTGTGCCGAGCTTTTAATAATGGAAGCTTGGAAGACTCAGCATGAAGCAGGCAGGCCGCCATCCAAGCTTAGCAATGGATTTACATTCTTTTACTACCACTTAAGTTTTCTAGTTCACATGTACAGCACTGTTTATTAAATAGTTTATGATAAGTAATTAGACCTGAACCAGTCTTATAGAGGTCATTCAAACTGCTTATCTTTACAATTTCTGTACTGGCTGACTTAGCAGGAAAATCTGCAAGTCATTTCCTTAGAATATAATTGATTCTTGTTGTGCTTGATCTTGGTTGAACATTAGCTTGAGGTTTATGAGCCAGTGAGTTTGTTTATTGAGAATTCTAACCCAGTCCAATGGAGTGATCTTAAGTTATCTGAAAACTGCTCTTGACAGAGTCCTTTCTGTGAGTGTCCCTGAACACAAAACTGATGGTGGCTCAACAATGTACCAGATGATAATAATTACCTGCCTGTAAGTGACAAGATTTAAAAGGGCCCTGGTTAAAGATTTGACAAGAGTTCATTACAATAGTGATGCAGACAATAAGAAAATGTGGTTATTTCTGTTGCATACTTAAAAAAAAAAATGAGACAGGGCCTCCTTTTTTCTTTTTGAGACAGTATCTCTGTATGTAGCTCAGGCTAGCCTCTAACTTGCTATCTTCCTGCCTCAGCCTCCTCAATCCTGGGATTACAGGCAGTTCCACTATGCCAGGCTCTTGCATACAACATATAAAGTTAATAATTAGAATTATGATTGGTGATATTATCCTAAGACTGTTAGATTTCTATGAACTTCATTCAATTTCTGAAACACATATTAATAGCATGCATACAAATATAGTTCAGAGAAGTTTTATCATTACTTATTATTAGAATGTTATTTCTCACATAATTTAATATATCAAACCCCATTAAACTCTCTCTTTCTTGCTCTCTCTCTCTCTTTTTTTTGGTACTGGGGATCAAACTCAGAATCTGGCCCTAAAGTCTCTTCCTATAAAGAGATATATCTTTTCAAGATATTCAAAGGACTCATCTGGAAAACCCCAAAATTAATTCAAGGGGCGGGGATGTAGCTCAGCGGCACCACACCTCTCTAACAAGCACAGCTTCCTGAGTTACATTCCTGGTACCAGAAAAAAAAAGACCATTTAGAGTTTGATTTGGGGAGTTTCCTTAAAAATATCAAGGGTTTAAAACACAGGTTCATAATGAGATCACAGGGCATTGCAACAATAGTCCTTCATGTAACCAAAGTGATATTAATGCTTCAAAGGCAAATACAGAAAATTGCATATTGTTGAAAAACCTTTAATAGAAATAATCAGTTTTCTTAAGTTTCAAAAAACCTAAGACAACCTGAGCACAGAAAATTACCTTGGAAAAGAGAATCTTTGTTTCCTTTCTAATGTCCTTTAATATGAGCAAAAATCCTTACAATTTCCTACTATCAGCCAGCCAATAATAGACAAAAACTCCTTGTTTACAGTGTATTTTAGATATTAATGCTATGTTTTTAGAAAACCTTCTAAGTAATTCTCTTCTAATCTTAGCCTTCTTGGTAACCCATATAATTCCGTTCACAGGATTCATCTTTCACAAAACTTTGACAATGTTCTTATCCATTCAGGTTTGGTCTATATTTTTCATATTCTTGGTTTAGAATATCCAGTTGTTCTGTTTTAGGACAATAATTACTCTCTTTTTACCATAATAAAAACTTCATACATTGTAGCTTTTCCTTTCCAAATGCACATCTTATCTTTCTCTTATAGATACATATAAGATTTTTTCCTTTTCTTATTTCTAGTAATTACATACACTAATTTGAATTTCTACCTTACTGACCTTAATTTTTAATGAACAGTAGAAATATATTCTTCATTAGGTTGTAGTTTGTTGATCTATTAAGGTAGATTACAGTTTGGTACATATGGAGACTGCTTTAGACTAAACTGATCACTATATACAAGATAATGTGTTGAATTGAGTAACATTTCATTGTTCAAATTAATTCAATGTGTGTATATGTAATATTTTCCAAAGAAGCCTTAAAGACCGTATTCCTGATGGCTTTGTGATTTTTGAAGAAAAATTTAGATTTAGAACAATTTAAATTGTTTTTTTTTTCCTGCAGGTTGTATATGTATACTTTAGAGAAAGGACCTTATGTGCACCTGATGTTTTAACATCAAAAATGAGGATAATATTTTGATAATTTATAATTTTAACATCCAAATTTTCATGTTAGTGCATGTAAGGTACTTTGAAATATTCAACTCTTTCAAGAATAGTTTTTTTTTTTCTTTTTGCTACCAGGGATTGAACTCGGGTCCTTGCACTTGCACAGCAGGCAGTGAAACCACTGAGCTAAATCCCTGGCCCTCAAGAATAGTTTTAATGTTAGATTTTATTAAATTTTAATACACCATATCCTTTCAAGGTATTGTTCCCAAAGGAAAAGAATTACAACAGAAAGACAAAAGAATTAAATAATTTTTGAAAAATTGAGAGTTGTGATTAAAAGAAACCATGGGAATCTGTAGCTCTAGTAATACAACATTGTCATTGTACATTTTTCCTTTCTGTGGGACTTAAAGGAATCTCCCACATTAAATTGTAATTCCCTCTTGCACTTTTTTTTATGGTGGAAAAAGCTACCACTTATATGGACATCATTTTAATGGTTGTAAGGAAAAAGTTTTTGTCTTTTTAAATTTTAGGGAATGAGTGTTGGTATACTGGGACCTACATTTCAAGATTTGGCAATGAATGTAAACCGAAATATCAGCAGTCTTTCTATAATTTTTGTGGGCCGGGCCTCTGGATTCTTCTGTGGCTCTATGATTGGCGGAATTCTTTTTGACTGTATGAACCATTTTTTACTTTTGGGTAAGGAAACACCAATTTTACTTCTGTGTGACTGTAAATGTATTTGCAGTGTGGCTTTAAATATGAGAAACAGCAGCCTGCAGAATGGCTGACAACTGAAATGGGTATGTTAGGCACACTCCAAGAATCTGGGCTCCCTGTTCTCGCCTTGACAGTGAGAGGGAATCTGTGCCGAGTCCTGTGGAAACAGCTCTGCAAGGTGTGTATGTGCAATCCTGAGCCTTCCCAACCTTCACTGCAGTTAGGGCACCACTCCAGGGTCACACACTGGAGATCCTAAAGCTCTCCAGAGAGTGTGGGGGCAGATCTGAATGAGCTCCCGGAGCCTGCTGGGGTCTGTGCTTCTGTATTGAAAATGAAGGGACCCAGAAACCACGAGTGGCCTAATGATGTAGGCTACATTTTTGTCCCCAATGTCCCATGTCAGTGATGACCCCAGAATCCCCTTCCTCACCCTGGACATAGATGGCAAAGCATTTAATATACTCTTTTAAAACTGATATTTTAAAAGAATATTTAATGTGATAAATACTTTTGGGAACAAGGGGAATAATTTATTGCCAATGAGTAATAAATAATATATCTTACTTTCACAGTAGACTGAGAGAATACATTTTTTATATTTTCATTCCTATTCCTAAAACTAATTTAACAAATTTTACTACAGACTACTGTACTGGTTGCCCTTTTGCCTTTTTATATTAATTCATACCTAAATATGCCTTTAGATTCTTAAATGTTAAACATTTAAGTGAATAATTTTTTGCCTATTTTGCTATAAAACTTCTTTGTAGTTAGAGAATTCATAGTGATAGCATTACATTCTGGGAATTGTAATTTTTATTGTATAATCTATAAAGCTTATATAAAATATAGATGATGTAACAACTTGCAGGTGCTATAATTCTTATCTTTTCATGATTACCCAGCTTTTGTTGTACTTTACTTGGCATTTTGGGGTTTATTGACTTGGCTCATGAACCTAAGGAATATTGTCTTTTATAGCTGACTTTCACCTTTTCTTCTCAGGGGTGTCAATGTGGGCTACTACATTTGGCCTTTTCCTCATTCCTTTTTGCAAGACAGCAGTATTACTAATTGTTGTGATGTCTGTCTTTGGTGCTGCAGTTGGTGTTCTGGATACAGGTTAGTGAATCACCAGTGTCATCTCTGGGAGTGCAGACTTTCTATTAGGCGAGTAGGGCAGGTGGTATTAAACTGTCACTTATAAAGCTCTTGAAATGACTTGGTTTGTTCATGGGTCTCCCAGTGACAGCCACCCTTCTGGCAGCTCCTTTTCTTGCCAACCAGGTCACCAGGTTTTGAGCAGCCAACTGCAAAGTGACCCTAAGAGATTTTGTTCTATGGGAGATGGTTGATGTACAGTATCAACATAGGGAAGAACCCCTCCTTTGGGTAACTGCTGTACAGATGAACAGGCTTTCATTTCAGAAGAGAATTTTATCGTATGGTATAAGGGGAATTGATTTAATGAGAAAGATGAATTGATTTAATGAAGTAAAACAAGTTTGGAACCATCATTTGATTGTGAAAGCATAGAAGCAAACATCCAATTAAAAATGTACCCATGTTCAGCAAAAACCAACTTGTGGTATGTACCACTTTCCTTCTCTTTCTGTTTTCCTCTCTTCCACATGTTCCTGCCTCACTGCAATACAGCTTCTTTATGTGTCATGTCTCTGAAAACCTACCAAATAACATAAGTCATATTTGATTGCCACCAATGCCACCTTTCTATCCCCCACTTCTCAGCTCTAATGTTATTTGATAGATTTGGGAAGGTTTTAATGTTTAACTTTAGTTTGGTTATAAAATTACAGGGTGGAATTTTATTAATACGTATTAGTGTTATGAGACAGGGTCTCCCTGTGTAGTTCAACCCAGCCTCAAACTCATGTTCTTCCTGCTATAGCCTCCTGCGTCCTGAGAGTACAGGCATGGGCTACCATGCCCATCTCAGAATTGTATGTTTACCTGAAAATGTTTGATTTTTAAATTAGGTAGCTGAAAACTTGATGTTTCTGGCCTTTCACCTTATAGGTGCTGAGACAGTATAAGTGCAGATATTGTAGTGAAAGATGTTGCTATGTCCTATTTTAGGCACAGCAGAATCCTGGTATGTTCAGCATCCTGAATATGGGTTTTGCATCTATTTGATAGATAGATATAGATATAATGTTCTTCAAAGGACTACCAAGTGTACATAGAGAAAGCTTTGGTAATTGGATCCTATCTGATGATAAACAGGTCTATAAATATTATTCCCCAGTCTGTTGTTAGCACTGTTTTATAAAAGCCTTTGGCTCAGTAGGTTGAGGTAGAAGGATCACAAATGAAGGAAACCCAGGCAACTTAGTGAGACTACATTTCAAAATAAAAAATGAATAATGGGCTGGGCGTGCAACTCAGTACTCCTTGGATTTAATCCTCAGTGTTAAAGGAAGAAAATTTGCTAATGTGCCTGGCTCTGAGAGGCAGCTGTTTCCACCTGTAGAATTCCATATATGGATAAGATGTTATAAAGCATAGTTCTCTGGTGACAGAGGGATGGAGTTCCTTCATCACAGAATTGACTCAGATGCAATGTTGATAACTGAGGCTATCACAAAGCTGCTGCCACATAATACAGAGTCATCCTCCCTCTGCTAGGAATGACCTGTTTTTTTGTCGTTGTTGTTTTGCTTTTACTAAGCTACTGTATATAACTTAAATCATTTCCTGCATCTTTCATTGGTAGGTGCAAACGTCCTTATCTTGGCTCTGTGGGGTGACAAAGGAGCCCCACATATGCAGGCCCTGCACTTCAGTTTTGCCTTGGGTGCCTTTTTGGCTCCTATTGTGGCAAAATTGGCCTGGGGAACAACAGTGTCAGCTGAAAACCACACAGAGCCTGACCTTCACCATCCAGCCCTCAGCCAATCACCTGAAGCCGACCCAGACCCTCTGATTGCAGCACCTGACGACTTGAACTTACTGTGGGCTTATGCTTCTGTCGGCATGTACATTTTTGTAGTTTCTGTTTTCCTGTTTGCTCTGTTTTTAAAGAAATCCTCGAAGCATGAAAAATCAATGGCATCTGCTCAGGTATCTCGAAGAGCTAAATATCACAAGGCCCTGCTCTGTCTCCTTTTTATGTTCTTCTTTTTTTATGTTGGAGCTGAGATAACCTACGGCTCTTACATTTTCTCATTTGCAACCACCCATGTTGGCATGGAAGAAAGTGAAGCAGCTGGGTTGAACTCCATCTTCTGGGGGACCTTTGCAGCCTGCAGGGGCCTGGCAATCTTCTTTGCTACATGTTTACAGCCTGGAACCATGATTGTGTTCAGCAACATTGGCAGCCTGGTCTCATCTTTATTTCTGGTGCTTTTTGACAAGAGCCCACTTTGTCTCTGGATAGCAACTTCAGTGTATGGGGCCTCAATGGCCACCACCTTTCCCAGTGGTATTTCTTGGCTTGAGCAGTACACAAGCATAACTGGGAAATCTGCAGCTTTTTTGGTCATTGGTGCTTGTCTGGGAGACATGGCTATTCCTGCAGTAATTGGAATTCTTCAAGGAGAGTACCCAGATTTGCCAGTAGTTATGTACACTTGTTTGGGGTCAGCAATATTCACTGCTACATTATTTCCTGTGATGTATAAGTTAGCCACCTTGCCTCTGGATCTTCAGGGGAAAGAAAACAGGAGTGAGAATCAGAAAGTTTTGCCCTCTAGTTCTAGGCTATGAAGAAGAGAATGAAGGGAAGGACTCAGAATAGAATAAATGGATTTTGAAATGGTGGAAGTGAATGATACAATGTAGCATTCTATAAGAAGGTCCAAAGGGGTAGGGGTGTTGGGAGGGGAAGGGGAAAGGAAAGAAGGGAAAGGAAAAATTACAAGCAAAGAAAAAAAAAAGGAAACGAAGTCTATGTAAATAGGGAAGGGTGGAGGGGGTGAAGGGCACACAGGTAATGGGGAAAAAATAAGAATCAAGATACATGATGTACAGGTACAAGCACCCAATTATGAATGTAAATGTATTGTATACCTAAAATGTACCAATAAAAGAATTTAAGGGAAAAAAAGAAGCGATATGGATTTTTTTGTTTTTTGGGTTTTTTTTTGAGATAGGGTCTCACTATGTGGTCTAGACTGTCCTCAAACTCGAAGCAATCCTTCTGTGTCAATAGAAAAGTTTTGATGGAATGATAGCTGAAGTCTCTGACAAATTTCTCTCAGATGCATTAATGTTTGAGTCTTCTCCATTTGATAGTAGCAATTCCCCTGTGAAATAGTTTGCCAGAAGCTAGGACAAAAGGGACTAATACTTAGAGAAGATAGATTATTCACTTTCTTTGAATGATCACCACTACTGGAGAGTCTGATCAGAGCACAGCATTGGTAGATCAAAATTTCTAGGTCCATGTATAGAAAATGCTGAACAGTTTGGAAATGTTCTGTAATTCCCACAGTCTTCCACAAACTGCCGAGTTGTCTCATATAGTAAGATCTTGTTATGAGACTAATGTTTGTCATTAAGATGATTAGGGAGTGTTTTTGTCTTCCACCTTTCAGAGCATACAAATAAAGTATTTGTTTCTCTCATTTTTCTTGAGAAATTAGATAGTATCTAATAGAACAAAATCATGAAGGAGTCGATGGATTTATTGAGCAAATTATCAGACATCTATATGCTTCTTGGGAAGTTGGGGAGCATAGATTTATGAAACAGCATCCTTCTAAATATATAAATATTTTTATTGATTGCTCTACCTTATCTGCAGGCATGGGCCAAAGAATGCTAATGACTCATAAGATCTTTTACTTCTATGAAGAGAAAACAGAGAGCAGGGCCCCAAAATCCTGCCTTCAATCTTTGACTCTACCTTCCTGCTTTTCCCTGAGGGATTTTACATAGTCCTCACTAATATGTTCTCCTATTCTGTGATTCTACAAATGAAAATGGATAATTTCCAAATTGAAAATCCTGAAGTTTTAAAGTTTGTGCAAGATATGCCCTAGAAATCAATGTGTCAACACATTCATCATTTCAAGTGTAACAAACAATAAATAATTTAGAATGTGCTACTGGTTATGACTATGTGCCAATTTAATGTACTTAATGTTTGATACTTTATTTGAATAAATTTATGAAGAATAATTTTTACTGTTGAATTTAATTGATCCTAAGATATATCTTTTCTCCACATATTTAATGTCTTTGAAATTTGCACATGGCTATGATCATTGATCACTTAACATTGTGACAAGGAGCAACCCACTTTCTGGTCCCCCTTCTCTTTTGGGTAGAAGCTTTCTTTCTCACAATAAACTCTTCGTACTCTTAACCTCCATTGTTCCTAGAATTCATTCTTTGATTTTAACGAACATGAACTCTGGCATTTCAGGTATCTAGCAGGTTGGGACTTATGATATTTCCCTCACATTATTAGTTGGTCCTATATCACATGCCCTGTATCATTAGGAAAGCATTCTATAACTGAGGTCCACTCAACGGGACCCTGTGCATGAATTTAGAAGATGAACTTGTGATTGAATTATGGCTGACCTTTCCTAAAGGCAGTTTAATGGAAAATCTTCAAGAACCTAGGGTCTTGCTAAGTTGCAAAGCTGTCCAGGTTAGGCTGGAATTTGTGGCCTAACTGCCTCAGCTACCCAGAATGGTGGGATTACAGAGTATAGAGGAGGAACAAAGAGGCAAACAAGCTAAGATTAAGTGACAAGGAGAGTCCAAGGAGCGCACGTCTTCTGGCTGCATTATGAGGCCCCCAGTGTTTCCTGTGGCTCCTCCCCCGGAAGAGAGCTACCTGCTGAGTGTCACACCTTACCACTGCACTGAGTGCTGAGGAGCCGCGCCATGCCCCCCAGCACTGAGGAGCTGAGCCGTGCCAGCACCAGGAGCACACCCCACCCCTTAAAATGAGAAGACACGAAAACAAGTCTCAAAACGAGACTTCCGCATCACCTAACGCAACTCCAGGGAAAACAATATGGAGCAATTTGACATTCAATCACCTGGACTTCCTGAACTGGCAACAATGGAGGATCTGGAAAAAAAGAAATCAGAAATAATTTCTAAGATAATAACAGAGATTGTGCCCATAGTGCAAGACATGATTAATAAATCTAGAGCAGACACAGATAAAAAAATAGAGGAGCTGAGCCCACTGCAGACAGGCAGGTCTGCCCACTCTCTACTGAGGTCCTGAGTCACACGGAACATGCCGAATTAGCCCGCTGCAGACAGGCAGGTCTTTGCACGCCCTACCGAGGTCCCGAGTCACGCGGAAGATGTCGAATCACCCCACTGCAGACAGGCAGCCACCTGGTTCCACACTAAAAGACGCAGAGGACCCCCAGACCACCAGACCAAGGTACTGAGTCCTGCTGCTCCCGGCCCAGAGGTAGGGGCTTCTGAGCCGCTGTCCCACTGCTCCTGAACCAGAGGAAGGGGCTTCCTGGTCACCATCCCTCCCACTGCTCCCAGCCCAGAGAAAAGGGCTTTTGGGCTACGTTCTGTCCCACTGATCCTGGCCCAGAGGAAGGGGCTTCCGGGCC